AAGATGAGGGACGGCGGTGGGCGCTCGTCTACAAATGGAGGACGGCGCTAGGCGCTCGTCTAAGATGAGGGACGGCGCTGGGCGCTCGTCTAATCCGCATGTATGGTCTTGCTTCGTCCATAATGTGTAGTATTTGCCTGATATGTACTTAGTATTGTTGTGGGGATTTCATTTTTTGTTGCTCGAGGCCGGCGAGTGCGCGCGGTCCTCGGCTTCCCTCTTTTATTTTTTCTTTTTCCTTTTCTTTTTTTTTATTTCCGTTTCCGTTCCCTATTTCGGGGAGTATCCTTCTTTCAGGCTTCAGCCGAAGGGTGTGCTCGTCCTTCGGCCGGTTCGGACTTCGTTTATAACGTCCGTGATCTCAGGGGGGTCCCGTCGCCTATTTATGACGCGGGCTAGACTTTTGGTTGGTTTCCAACGGCTGCCGTTGCCCAACCCTGAGTGGGGAGATTCTGCCACCTCGGCCATGATTTCAGGCCTGTCGTCCTGCGATCTGGCGCGTGGACGACGCGGTGAACTTCCCATTTCAAGACGCGGGCCGTTTGCGGGCCCATCGTCCTGGGGACATCGTCGGCCATACCTGAGCGTTTCACTCTAGGCTTACGGGGCCAGGACGATGTGCTCTCTCAGCTAGGCCTGAGCCCTTCGCTGATACATAATACAAAGTGGAGCAGACCTGAGCCTTTCGCTCGAAGGCTGCTGATACGACATGTGGTATCTTCTATTTACATTTCCAAAAAATAAGCGGAATACAATAGGTGCGTTGTTCATGGCAACGGCTTTTGGGCGACGCGATTAGCGTCTCGGAGAACGAGGTGTACCGTTTACCGCTCTCGGGCATAATGCCATGTGCGGCCGGTAGCGGCTCTCATTTTTAGATGCCCGAGCCACCAAATAAAGGTCGCTAGGGTAGGTCGAGGGACCCAAATATAATTCAAATCATCAAATAAAGATGGTCGGTAGACTAGAGCTCGGGTCCACCACTTTGTGGTTTTTTGACCCGCTCTAATGGCGATGATAAAAATAATAATGCCAATAATAATGCATCATTAGCAACCTCGGGAAATTTTAATCCCTCATAATGGTCTTCACCACCTCGGGGGTTTTTAACCCGCCATAATGGTGGTGGAAATAATATAATTAATAATAGTAATAATTATACTACTATCATTTAATAAATATTTTAAGTGTATAAATAGGAGTATTGGGCACTTAGCTCTTTTATTCGGACTGCTTTTGGTGTGCTGCTGAATTGAGGCCCATTTTAAATTGTAAAAGCCTGTTGAAATATTCTGGTGGCCCATATCTCCTTCCGCAGCATCTAGGTCTGGAAAATAAAATAGAGCCTCCACCTTGTTGGCCTCATGGCGTGCGGCGTGCTGGGCGGGGAGGTCCTCATGCCGCCGGAAATGGATGGGAGATCGTGTTTAGCTTGGAGCATTCCGTCCAGAGGTTCACCGCCGGAAATGGAGAGCGGGTCTGCAGATCGTGATGACGGACGGCGCAGCGACGGGAGAGGCGGAGTTCGCCTTGGGGCGTCTTTGACCGGCGGGTGCTTGAGCTACGTCAACCGTGGTAGTTCCGGTTCTCAGCAGCAACGGCCACACTCTCTCCACGTCTGCTTATGGTTCGAAAACAGAGCTTCACAACATCCATTAATGGCGGATTTCCGAAGGTAAAGCTCCAGAGGCTGAGTTAAATTACCTTGGAAATAACAGTCGTGGACCTGGCTTCAACCTTTGAGCTGCGGTGGTGAACGGAGCCTTGGCGGTTCGGAATAGGAGCTGCGGTAGCAGAACTCATCCGATGTGCGTCGACCACCGTGTTCCTCGTTTTTCCATTGCTGGACAGGATTCTTCCATCTTCTCACGTCATGAATTCTAGATCTTCATTTTTCTTTTTCTTTTTCAGAGCACTTTGGACTGATTTCTTTGTTTTTGGATGAAGTTTTTGGTATTTTGGGGAGGAATCTAACTTGATTTTGCTCTAAGCTCTCAATGAAAGCACCATTGATGGATTATAGGTATCCAAGTATATATAAAATGGGAGAGATTTGAGCATGTAGAGAGGAAGATGAATGAATAGTGGTATTGAGAGTTATGTTCTAGGGTTACAAATGGCTCCAAGAGGAGTATAAATAGAGAAATAATGGGTTGGGCCGCTAATATGGGCCCGATAGGCCCAACTACATAAAAGACTAATCCAGTACATAGTTACATACAAATGACATATAAGCAGTACAATAATACATATGATATCCGTAAGATGTGTGTGGGCCGCTGTCCGGGCCCAATAGTCGTGAGACCCGGGGGTCCGAGTCTATATACTCTATCAGATTTATACTCTCTACATCCTTTATAAGTTTATCAATTTTAATTTTTTGGTTGTCTCTAGGGGTGGACTGAACCGGCCCAAGCCGGCCTATGAACCGGACCGACCCGCTACTGTGCGGGCCCGAACCGGAACGGGACTGGATGGCCGGTTCTGGGCTTTTGCCGGGTTGGCGGGTCTGGTGGGCCGGGCTCGGGCCCTGTTTTTCTTGAACCGGCCCGGGCCCGATTCCTTTTTTTTTTTTCATTTTGTTTTCTTAAACATCTGGAAAAAAGTCCGGCTTGAACCGGCCCGAGTCCGGCCCATGCATAGTTGTCTCACATTGTTACTTAACCTTTTAAATAAAGAAATCGTTATTTTGTTAACTCTTTCTCTTCTATAAAAAATTCAACCACACAACTTCTATTTTATTATTCTAATCTGCGTGTTAGTCAGCTTTGGCAAAATTATAAAGGACGGAGGGACTATTATATTACAAATGTCCTGTTGAATATTGTCAACTTTCTGTTAGGTATTAAATAAAAAAAGTCAAAATTGTATGATTGAGTGTTGTGTAGAGCATAGAAAAATAAGCAAAACCATCAATCATTTACTTTAAAGAGGATGTGACAAAGTTTTTGTGACAAAGTGTTTGTGACAAATAAAAAGGAAAGTTGACAAACTTTAATGGGAAGAGAGAGTACTTGTATGATATTAGTAGTACTTAGGATTAGAACAACTTATTTTTCAAGAAAATATTTAATAAAAGTAAAAATCATTCCAAAGATTTTATGCCATAACATTTTTCTAGCGCACAGACCGTGCTTAGTTCGTTGGCATTTCAGTTCTTATTTATAAATTATTAAAAAATCCGGCACATCTCAACAAATGTTGTTGTTCCGACACATAACTTGAACACAAACCAGTAACAGAAGCAAAGGGAGCGAAAGAACTAAAAAGAGATGTTTTAGCTTTTAGCATTTGTCAACCATAGGGGTGGACGTGGGCCGGAACAAATTCTAGTACTCTGCGAGACCGAGTCTGTAAAACCAGTCTTCTTATCTTGTTTGGCGCCATTATTATCAGGATTGGCTAAATCCCTCAATTTAGCAAATCCTCCATCGAAGGCTTCCACATATTGTAGTTCGTGGAAGTGAGCGCAATCATATGATAATTTTTCCATAATAAATTTTCAATATATCTTATACCTTTTGTTCGAAGCCGAATTTGGTCAAACGGATCTCATTGTTGAACCCGAAATGGTCGAAAATGACAGTAACTAGTTTGACTTCGCCCAAAACCGATATGGGAGGGGGGGGGGATTGAGCTTCACAACTATGAACCGGTTCAGGCAATAGCCAATGTGCAGACACGCAGGCAATCGACGGATCAAAACCTGGCTCTGTGCTGGTGCTAATGTGGCACCACGTGGTGTGGATACAGATGATGTGGCAGCTGACGTGGACTGGTGTGGTATTGTGGTGTTGATCAGGTGATGATGTGGCGGCTACCTAGTTGTCTTCTTCCTCTAGATGGCGCGTGCAAGTTCATTTAATCGGGCTGCACAAGAATAACCCGAACCCGCATAACCCGCTCGACCCAACCCTACCCTATTTAATCGGGTATTTGATTTTTAAAAATATTCATGGGTTAAATATGATTGAACCCGCACCTAATGGGTAGGGTTGCAAAATTAAAATCTCCAACCCGATAGTACCTGACTCGGCCGAAGTTCATTTTACTATTATTATGCTACAATGTTTTCTTGGATAATTTCAATTTAAGACCAATGTGCTCTATCTAGGACTTTATGATACTAGAATTATAATTAAACATTTACCATTTTTGACTAGGTGATTATTATATATTTATGTTTCCTTCTAAATGATCTTCCTTTACGGAAGGATATTTTAATACTATTATCTAATGTCTTTGCTTATAAAAGATACGAGTACTTGTATTTATTTGTGTATTTTGAAAACAAGTTAATCGAGTTTTAAATTGGTTACATTAATCTCTCACATAAAGATGCAACCCGAAGTGAATTTTTTCAATACCTGACCCTACCCGACCCGTTCATGCATGGTTTAACAACTTATTTTGCGTACCACGGGTTGAATAATAGCCAACCCGAACAAATCGGATAGGCCCAAAAAATATAGCAAACCCGACCCAACCCGCCCGATGTGCAACCCTACGTGCAACAACTCATCTCCACCCGCCGGCGTGTGGCGGCATCTGGTGACCATTTGGTCGCCGGAAAATATCATATTTTCCCTCTCAACAAGCTCAACCCGATGGTATGATCAGATTGTGATTTCGAGCAACTTTCAAAAAACATGACTCTCTAACATGTAGAATTTTTTACGAAATGTATGTAAACTTAACTTGATACCACTTGTTGAGATTAAAAATTCTTTTATTCAATATCAAGAACAAAATTACAATAAAAGGAACAAACCCTCGCATTGAACTATTACAAAAAAACAATCCGCACTAATATGTTTCTTCACTAAGAGTGTATAACATTCTACACACACCTTTGTCACTTTGTGATCTGATGTTAGTGAACAACAAGAGTCTCTATTTATAGATGTATATGTGAGACATTAGAGAGTTAGCATCCAAAATTGTTAGTTATCTCTTTATCTTTTACAAGACAATTTTTCACTCTTCCTCTCTTTCAAATTCTACTACTACAAACTTCGTATAAAATCATTAGATGCAAATACACAAAAATCCTAGCATTTTATTACCGTTCCTGTCTCAGATCTCAAGCAAACGACTTCGACGGTTTAAGTTTGGAAAGTCGCCGTGGCGAAGTGTCATTGGCTGGCGCTATGTGGAAATTAACGTAAATGAGTCGTCGCCACTACTCGCCGGCGGCAATCCTGCCCGATTTCTGAAACGCTAAATCTCGAATTCTCGACAAAACCCAATAGAATTCTAATTTTGCTTGCTGCAAAATGGCAGTCCGGGCAACTGTAACTCGATTCCCCAGCGACCCTGATGCTTTGGAGGTGTCGGGGCTGCCGTGGGGGGTGACGTTGACGCCGTTCGCCCCCAAGGATGAGAGTGGAAATTCGCCGGTGTACGGTTCAGATGGCCACCTCTTGCCACGATGCGAGAACTGCTGGGCATACTACAACACTTACTGCGAGCAGGAGCAATGGGCATGGACATGCGCTCTCTGTGGAACCCTTAATGGCCTCTCTTCACAGGCCATTTCTCGCTATTCCCGCCCTGATTCCTGCCCCGAGAACATGTCCTCATTCATTGACCTTGAATTGCCATGTACTTACGAATTAAACTGTACGATTCGTGCATAAACTTGTATTCCTGTTCATAACTGTAATGCATTTGCAACATTTTTATGTTGGCGCAGTGGAAGAATGCGAGGAAATGCAGGCACGGCCTGTGTATGTTGCAGCAGTTGATCTTGCTTGTAAGTCCTCTTTATTTAGTATATTCTCGCCTATGTGTGATATATGGTTGATTCACTTCAACCTTTACTAGATGAATGGAGGATATTTTTAGAGGTTATTCATCATTAATGAGAATTGCACTGAGATGGCATTCTCTTCCATTGGGTACAAGCCTCATAATCACAGAATGAAGAACAAAGTTATCAGCAGTTCTGTAATACCAATCAGTTTATTAGTATTACATTCAGTCCTTATGTTTAAGTCTAGAAGTAAAGCTGTTTATTCTTTATTAGTTTTTGTTCAGGGGTGGTTCTAGTTAGCTCGTTATGTTAAATGTAATATTTTCAAATAAAAATATTCTTTGGATGCCCAATCAAACTTATCTAAAGCTTTGTGGTGTTGAATCTCATATTTTCATACAAAATCTTAAAAAGCCCACATATTGTTTACCACATCATATTATTAGGGTTACAAGTTTTATTTCATAAGGTTGAATGGTGGATTCTTCAATGATTTCACGCTAAGTCTTAGTTCCTCCTTGCCATTCTAGACTTTAGCATACTTTGTGATATAGCAACAATCTGGAGCAAGAAACATGTTTTGTTACAATAATTTCTTTGAAAGTGAAATCTTATATCCATATTTTACTGTATTTTGTTCTAAAATGCACATGAATTGTATTCACAACCTCCATTTGTATAAAAGTGTTTTCATTTTAGACTGATGTTTTGCAAATTGCAATAGGCCCATAACTGTTCTTGCATTCTTGTGCAGCCTCAGAGGAATTTTTGGAACTTGTCAAAAGTGCTCTTCTAGCAGCACTGGAAGGTTGTAATGTAAAGATTGTATTTTGAGTTCCTGTTTGTTACACATGTCTAATCCCAGTATTCTTTTGGTTTAATACCAGGTCTTGGGCCTGGATCTCTATTTGGCCTTGCTACTTTCAGCCACAAAGTTGGCTTATATGATGTTCAAGGACCTATTCCAGTGGTGAAAAATGTTTTCATTCCACCTGAATCTGATGGTAGCTTGCCTATGGAACTTGAAGACATCATGCCCTTATCTTCATTTTTAGCTCCTGTATGTTTCGCCGAATGCTGTTATAGCTTTTGTTTCTTAATTTTGTATGTATTGGACATGATATTTAGTTTGTTGACTTGTTGTAGGTGGATACTTTCAAAGATAATATTGCATCTGCTCTTGAGACATTGAGGCCTACTACTTCATGGGAAAGAACCTCAGCCGCAGGACAAGGACTAGATGGAGTTTTGCTTGGTGGAAGAGGCTTTGGATCAGCAATGGAAGCTCTATTTAATTACCTTGGATCAGAATATGGGAACACATTTGCATTAGGTCTAGCAATTGCATCTTTTCTTAGTTCTTTACTTTTTCTCGTATCTAATTTTTTATTGTCTTTTTATTGCTGCAATGCTGAATATCCTGATATGTTTTTTCTTTCTTTTCTATATTTTCTTATGGATTGACGCTTAATTTGGTTTCCTTTTCATTCTTTTACACAGCTAGAGTTTTCGCCTTCATGTCCGGTCCTCCTGACTATGGAGCTGGGCAACTAGACACAAGAAGGTATGGTGAACAATATGCTAGCAAAGGAGAGGATGCAGACCGTGCTTTACTTCCTGAGCAGACGCCATTTTATAAGGATCTGGTAATGGACATACTTCATTGCTTGCAGATGCTCATTTAATATTGATATGTAAGCGTTGACATGTATATCACAGGCTGCTGTTGCTGTTCAATCTGGTGTTTCAGTGGACATCTTTGCAGTGACAAATGAATATACTGATTTAGCTTCATTGAAGTTTTTAAGTATCGAGAGTGGGGGCTCATTGGCTTTGTATACAAGCACTGATGATTCAACACTTCCTCAAGACATGTAAGTGATACATGGCTCTCACACATTACTCCCATGATTTAGTAACTTATTATGATGTAGGTTTTTTAATGACTTTAAATTTGATATTCGAGCAACAACTAATAAGTGAACTGTTGTATCTGAGTATCGTCATCTGTTTGTATGACTGCAAATTATCTATTCCAGATACCGCATGTTAACTAGACCGTATGCTTTTAATTGTGTCTTACGGCTGAGGACATCTTCTGAATACAAACCTGGTCATTCTGTAAGTTTCGATCTTATTCATCTTTAAAATCTATGGAACCACCATATGGTCCATAATAATTGAAACCTTTTGTTACAGTATGGGCATTTCTTTCCAGATCCGCAGTATGAAAATGTTCAACATATTATATGTTGTGATGCTTTTGCCACATATGCTTATGACTTCGAGTTCGCAAAGAATGATGGATTTTCAAGGTAAGTATTTGCCTACTTGTCCTTTTCTTCTTCCAACCTTCCTATGTTTTTGGGGTGCAGGTTGCCTAATACCTATCATGCATTCATACCAAATATGTACTCTATTTTTTTCAACCTCGTATCTTAAATACTTAGTTAATAGTTTATAGTTAATGCAGGCATACTGCAGAACTCCCTATGCTTCAAATTGCATTCCAGTATACAGTGGTAGTGCCTCCAGGAGAACTTGCAAATACGGAATCAAGTCCTACAAGTAGGTATGACTTTTTTTTTTCTCTTTGGCGTTTGAACTGATGTTTGCGAACTATATATATGTCATTTTCTTTATAAAGAGAAGATGCATATTTTGCCTGTGCTTTATTGGGGAATCCAGTTAATGTCTTCATTTAGGTCCATATGTTTCTTTAGTTCTTTTTTTCTTCCTCGTTTCCTGGTAGACAGGCCTCCGACTCATTCGCACAGCACTGAAGTTGGGTTGCTGTTCCTTTTCTTTCATTTTGTAACTTTATGGCCCTTCATGCTTTGGGCAGGAAAAAGCACTCTCTGAAGAGGAGATTAAGGATAAGAACTCTGCAGTTTGGAGTTGCTCATGAAATTAATGAGAGTTATGATAGTGTTGACCCTGAAGTGGTGCTCTGTTTACTTGTTCACAAGGTATTTTCCTCTTAGTGATGCCACCTTTAACCTGTACAGTAAAAAAGAAAACTGTATTCATGTATTTAAGTCTGTACAGAAAGTCCTATCTCAGGATGTACAAATGGGCTAGGCCCACTACCACTAGAGTTAATGTTATGATATGTATCATACTATTTAACACTTTTCCTTGAAGCTGGAGCATCAAACCATACTCCAAACTTATTACAAATTTACAATTATAACCAATCTTCAGAGCTTTAAGAGACTTCGTCAATATGAATACAAGTTGATAACAAATCTTGTACCAATGTTTTCAAACATGAACTTTTCCCTAATGAAGTGACAGTCCACTTCTATATGCTTCGCCCTCTGATGATACATTGGATTTGAAGTGTTATACAGAGGGAACATTACAACTTGTCATCACATATAAGGGTGCATTTGGTTGAAGGGGAAGGTAGGGAAACATCTACTCTCCTTCTTTGGTTGAATTAAGCAGCAGTGCATCTTGTTTATCACATATAAGGGTATGTTTGGTTGACGGGGAGGGGGGAGGGGGAGGGGGAGGGGGAGGGGGGAAACATCTCCCCGATCATTATTTGGTCGAATTATTATTAAGAGGAGCTGACTAAAATTTCTTCCATCCCCCACTCCCTCGGCCTCTCTCCTTTTGAACCAAACACAAGCTAATTTTGCCACATCTGACATACTGCAATTCCTGAAGTAAGTGCTTCAAGTCTTCAACCATATGAAGTTCACAGGTGACTAGAGACATATTCCGATACTCAGCTTTGACACTTCATCTGCAATCACAACTTCTTTCTTACACTTACATGATATTACATTACCTTCAATAAACACAATATCCATAGGTGAAGCTTTTTTCATACAAATAACCTGCCCAACCATAATGCAAAATCCAACAAACTGGGCATGACCCCTACCTTCATAAAGTAAAGGTTCTTGATTATTTCAAGATTCAAATAGCAGCATTCCATTGGCCTTTATGCTAGATCCTTGGTTTGAAATTTGCTGAAGAGATGATCCTTTTGTTCGGAAATTCCCTCTTTATCATTACCTGCAATCACAATATCATCCCCATAGTCCATACGGCACGAGAAGATACATTTCCATCCTGTTGAGTGTCATAGGAAACAGCACAATCAACACCACTAAGACCATGTCAAATTTACATGCCGCAAAACTGAACTGGCTAAACCAAGCTAGACTACGCAGCTTGGCCTTAGATTTCTCATGTAGCCAGTAGCCTCAAGAGTTTTGAGCAGGGATGGGAGTGCCAACAAAAATACAAGTATATTTTTAATGGAATAATGGAACGGTGATTGAAAACAATTGAAAATGGCATTAAGAGGCTACATTACAGAATAATTTTATTTTGACTTGAAAAATATTAAAAGATCACAGAGTGGATGTGTGTACTAGTCTTTTAATTATTATTACTTTTCTCTAAATTGATAATAGATTAATATGAGAATTGTGCCAATCTTTTGGGATATATTATGTAGATGGTTTTCCACATGCCTTTCTTGATGGTTTTGTTCTCAGACTGAAATCTCATATAGTTTAAATTGTTTGATTAATGAAAGATAAATTGTACTTTAAGTTGAAGTTTTTTGGAACCTCGGTTTTTTCCTTGTGCAATGCTACAGCTTTGAAGGTTTAAGTTTAACATTCATTAAGCAAACAATTTGTATCTTTCAGGTCATATCATCTTCATTGGAAGAGGGTATACGTGAAGGCAGAATGCTGCTTCAAGACTGGCTAGTAATTCTCACAGCTCAGTACAATGAAACTTGCAAACTGTCAGAGTCTGGACATGGGAGTTCAAACACTGTTCATGTTGATGTTGCTTTCTCCCAATGTCCACAGTTGCAGTATCTCCCTCGCTTAGTTTTTGCTCTCTTACGAAACCCTCTCCTCCGTTTACATGAAGAAGGTGTACATCCGGACTACAGAATATACCTACAGTGTCTGTTCAGGTACCTATTTTTATTAACTAAACTGAATTCCAACTTTTAAGTTGATCCGAATACTGAAAATGTATAGTTTTTAAGTTTGTGTAATTAATATATTGTTACTTTGTTACTTAAAACCTTTAGACAGCATATTTGTTTAGAAATTCATGAACATTTATGCACCATGTATATGCATAGGTTACTTATCTAATACAGAGTAGTTAAGAGCCTCAATAACGGGGAAGAGAAAAACCCTTGTCTAATTGTCTGTATTTTTCAATTTGTCTGTATTTTTCAATTTCAAACAAACCTAAAAAATTGAAATAATGAGTTAAAAGATTGAAATTAGGGACAATATTTTGACTTAAAATATTGAAATCATGAAATGCATTTGATGCTGTGGACTAATGGCTTACATTACTGGCAATTGGCTAACATTTAATGACATGGAAATTCACAAAAAATATAAAAAAACTTCTTGGTCACCATACAGTTAAGGTCCATAATGCAGCAAATGACAGCTGATTTCCATTATAACACTTTTTTTTTTCAAATTCTTTCCACCACACTCTACTGCTACTTTATCCAGATAACCACTTCTTGGCAAGCAACATGGTCATCTCTTTGGTCCTATTATGTTGCTTTCTTCATTGAAGGCACCTCTATAGTTCTATAGTTATATTCTGCCACTAATAGAGGCAGTCCAAAATCCAAGAATATCTGTGCTGAAAAAAACTCAACCAAAAATTTGAACTTTCTATGAGATTTTCTACTCCCAAGAGTTTTATTGGGGAATGTAAGACATCATAAAAGTCTGTGGTTTCAGCCATCACAGCCATCACAGATTTCAGCCATCTTTATGTATTGCATATATCAGATTAGTAATTATATTCCATCCAAAACTTTCTTTTGAGCTGGATCTTGCAGTTTTTCCTGGTATATAAATATTGTGTGTTTTACACATGTAGTTGGGAGGAAGTGGTAGTGAAAGCTGGTTGGTCAACATTGCAAAAAAAACATTTGACAGTAGTTAACATCACAACATTTAGTATTTGAATGGCGTGGCTACCTTTAGAATTCGTGGAAACTGCTCACTTATTCTTGAGGAGCCCTATTAAATGGATCATATAGGCAGTTTCTGGAGAAGAAGTTCTATCAATTTCTTTTGATGAAAATTTGATTTGGTCAAGTAGATTACTGATTTTTGAGAGATATTGTTCACTACAACTGTTTATAGAAATCTTCTATGCTGCAAATTATCATATTATTAATCAAGTCGTATGCTAATAGTTTGTGAGTTTTTTATGAAACAGTGCATTAGAACCTTCTTCGCTTCACCTTGCTATATATCCAATGCTGACTTCATTTGCATCGCCTGATAAACAAGCCTATCCTCGTCATTCCCTGAGCCGTGCTGCATTGATGACAAGTGGCAGCCCCATATTTTTCCTTGACGCATTCACAATTCTCATCGTGTTCTATTCATCTACAGCTGACCCTTCACTTTCTTTCCCTCCGCCTCAGAACTGTAAGAAGATTTTATTTGATTTGGCTGTAAGCCTTTTTATTTTTAAATCTGACAGATTTTCCCTCGTACTTCCTTGGTTTTCTCCTAGGTTTATTGAGAACAATAATAAACAAGCGGAAGCAGGAGCGGTGCATCTCCCCGAAACTCCTATTTATTAGAGCGGGACATGATGATGCAACAGTGTTTGAGAATTTTCTGATAGAGGAACAGGATGTAGAAGGGAATGGGTTCACAAGTATCATGGGCTTTGTGTCCTTTCTTGAAGAAATTCATCAAGGTGTGTTGGAATATATGAAATGAAATGCAATACAATAATGTAACAAATAATTTCTTGCAACAGTTAGAAAACAAAAGGACATATTCTGTATTTGGTTGGAGAGTATCAGCAAGTGAAAGTTTAGGCGTTGGAACTTGGATGTTTGTGATTTCCCTCCATGCTTCAAGTGTTTGTAGATACTTTGTAACTCACCTTTTACTGAGAATTTAGATTTGTTTTAATAGAATGTCTTTTTTCGAAAAACAAAAATGCTTGAAACATGGTTATTTAGAGGGAGCTGTTACTAAAATAAGAATGATCAATGCAATAAAAACTAAATTCAATAACTAAAACCTTTTTATGCAATAAAATAATAATGATGTTTGTACACACTTTTATACACCAACCATTCTTGATGTACACACTCTTGTACACACCTTGTACACACCATGTTTGTGAAGCTTTTTTTTTGTCTGTGAATCCGGTCCACAGACAATATTTTGTTTGTGCAAAACATTGTCTGTGAATCGATGTTCACAGACAAAAAAAAAGCTTTCACAAACATAGGTGTGTACAAAAGTGTGTATAAACAAACATTCTTATTAATCCAGATAAGATAACTAGACAAAACTGACCAGTGTCAAACCTAACCCAACACCGTGACCCCCTTGAGAAAACTTATGGGTCCACCACTACCGCAAAAGTATTAATCAATTTCAAAATGAAAGGTGCTTTATATACTCAATACAACCTTTCTCAAGGGGGTCACGGTGTTGGGTTGGGTTTGACACTGGTCAGTTTTGTCTAGTTCAAGCAGATTAATTTTTTTACCGCAAATATATTAATTAGTTTTGGTTTCAACTTTCAAGTGATGTACATTGTATTGCTACTGATTATCTTATCTGGATTAATAAGAATGTTTGGAGTTGATGACCAAAAAAACTTTCAAATGATGCACACCGCTATAAATTTTGCTCAGTTTTGTGACTTTTGTCTAGGGTTGGATTCGGGCCGGGTGGCCCGACCCGGAACCGGCCCGGGACCGGTACTGTTCCGGCCCGGTCCGAACTGGTGGCCCGGTCAGTGACCGGTCCGGGTAGGCCCGACCCGGTGGGTTTCCGGTCCGGGATCGGGTCACCCATAACAAGGCCCGGCCCGGCCGGGCCAAATTTATTTATTTTTTGGTTTTTTTCATTTGTTTGGGCTCCACCGGGTTGGGCTTGATGTTTAGGAGGGGTTTGGGGGTGGGGGGTGAGGGGGGGGGGGGTCAGGGATGGGTAGCTAAGCAAAAAAAAAAAATTAACCAAACCCGAGGCCCGGCCCGGCCCGGACCCGGACCAGACCCGGTGGCTACCCGGGCCGGTCCTGGGTCCAGCTATATAGAACCGCCGGCCCAGGCCCGACCCGGCCCGAGTCCAACCCTAGTTTTGTCTATAAATTATAAGTTTACTTTTCAAATCATTAAGAAGACTCTACACAATAATATTCAGTTTTTTAAAAGAAAACATAGTTCGAATTAGATCTGAATCATCCCTACATGGCTACACTGTTTTTTATTTTGGATTTGGCATCCATTTAATTTTGATAAAGAAATTATATTAAATGGGACTAAAACATTGTTAAAACTCCAAAATAGGACTTCAAGTTTTAAATTTCCTAAATGGGACTCCACATTACCTTTTTGCCCCTAATCCCTAAATCACCTTTTCCCCAAATCCCTCTGCATCGCTCGATCGTAACTCAACTGTTCGCAGCTCAACTGTTCGCAACTCGATCGCAGCTCAACCTCCATCGATCGCAAGTTCGCAACTCGACGCTGGCCTATCATCGCAGCTGCCTGCTCGACGCCGGACGCCATCTCCATCAAAATCAGGTATTCTTCTTCTTCTTCTTCTTCTTCTTCTTCTTCTTCTTCTTCTTCTTCTTCTTCTTCTTCTTCTTCTTCTTCTTCTTCTTCTTCTTCTTCTTCTTCTTCTTCTTCTTCTTCTTCTTCTTCTTCTTCTTCTTCTTCTTCTTCTTCTTCTTCTTCTTCTTCTTCTTCTTCTTCTTCTTCTTCTTCTTCTTCTTCTTCTTCTTCTTCTTCTTCTTCTTCTTCTTCTTCTTCTTCTTCTTCTTCTTCTTCTTCTTCTTCTTCTTCTTCTTCTTCTTCTCCTCCTCCTCCTCCTCCTCCTCCTCCTCCTCCTCCTCCTCCTCCTCCTCCTCCTCCTCCTCCTCCTCCTCCTCCTCCTCCATCTCCTTCTCCTTCTTGTTCTTCTTCTTCTTGCTCTTCTTCTTCTCCTTTTGTAAATGTCATCTTTCTATTCCAAAATGCCAACATTATTTTAACATTATTTTTAGTTTTTTATCAATCAAATTTTAAATAAAATTTTGAATTGTGAAAGTCATTTCTCTTCATTTTTTATAAATTCCATCTAATTCACTTTAAATCGTTCATACTATTTTTCTCACTAATTGGACCTGAAAATGGCATAATTGTTATTTTATTGAACACTCATTTGGAAAAAATGTCACTTTTTTGACATTACATTTACCAAGATGACAGTTTTTATTTGACATTTATAAAGAGTAAAAATGACACCAACTTGACATTCTCCACGACTGCCATATTTTTATATATGGAAATGTCATCTCCATGACATTTTGGGAACAAAGGTGGCATTTTTTTACAAAACAGAGTAAGAAGAAGAAGAAATCATATGAGGAAGAGGAATCTGGGAGATAATGTTCGAATGTGAAGAGGAAGAGAGAAAAGGAAAGAGAGGCAGAGAACAGAAGGGGAGTATGTTCGAATCTGGAATCCATCTTACAAGAGATATACAATGGCGATCTTATCTTGCAACTCATGCCAGGCAGCTACGGCGTTCACCTAGGTGGCAGCAATCACCCAGGCGGCGTCAATCAGCCAACGACAGTGGAAGTCTGTGCACTGAAGCCTTGCGCAGAGGGTGGTGGTGCCGGCAATATGAAGTTATCGGTGCAGGGCACCGCAACAGAGTAGTCGGAAGTCTAAAGATCATGCGCTAAATTCATTAAGGGCAATTTTGTCCGATCGGTAATTAAAAGTCCTATTTAGGTAATAAAAAACTTAATGTCCTACTTTGGAGTTTTAACCAAGTTTTAGTCTCATTTGGGAAATTCTCTCATTTTGATATTATAAACAGCCAAAATTTGGAACTAGTACATTCAAGTTTACTGCTGTCCCAATTTGTTTTTCAGAATTTCTTATTTTGATTGTCCCAAAATGATTTTCTACTTTTGGAATAGAAAAATGAACTAAACGACAAGTTCACCCTTACTTTTAACTTTCTAATTTATCATTCTTACGGTCTCACCCATCCACATTTCATCACTTCCACCCACCCACACTTTATCCCATCTGATCGAGCTTCTCTCTTCCCTCATACGAAGTATTCATTTCCCAAATCTGGATTTCATCATATTCTGTATGGGTGGACTCGGGCCGGGCCGGTTCCAGTTCGGGCCTGGGCCCAGCCGGAATATTATTTGAAAATGTGTGAACCGGAACCAGCTCGGGTGGCCGGCGGATCCGGGTCGGGCTGGGTCGGGCCAGGACGGGTCTCGGGCCACTTCCTATTTTTTTTTTTTAATTTTCTAATTAATCCCCTAATCCCCCCTCACCCCCACCCCCAAACCCCCCCAAATGGCCCAAAACACCAAGCCCAACCCAGAAAAATAAAAAAAAAAACGAAAAAAAAACAAAGGCCCGAAACGGATCGGGCCGGTTCATCATTTGGGGGACCCGAGCCCGCACCGTAAAACCACCGGCCCGAGCCTACCCGAACCGGTCCCTGGCCGGGCCACCGGTTCGGGCTGGGCCGGAACAGTACAGATCCTGGGCCGGTTCCGGGTCAGGCCACCCAGCCCGAGTCCACAAGCACTCAAGTAGTAAATGGAGGGGACCGAATATGAAAAAAAAACAATCAATATACTATGATGAACAACACTTCCGAGCTGCTTTTGTTGTTTCAGTTTGTTACAGGGAAGAGTTTGCTTGGCTAGAAGTTTCCAGAAATAGTGAGAATGTGAGTTGGGTAAATCCAAAAACCATCTTCCTTATGCCGTAATGAACCCTAGATTTCTTCAAAAGGACATTCTCGGATACCATCTTGGCTCATTTCAAGAACCCAAATCGTGAAACACCCCAATTGAATTAACTGACACAATAGTTGCTCGGCTAATTAAGTGAAAAATCTGAGAAGAAGATACTTAATTACTTATAGATAATGGCGGACCGTAGTACAGACCCAGGGGTTACCGCCCCCAACAAGAATTTTTTTAGTGTATATATATATGAAAAATAATTTTCTCTCTCCGAAAAATATTTTGAACCCCCCAAAAAATATTTTCGCCCCCCTCAAGATCACTTTCTTGGGTCCGCCCCTGCTTATAGAATGATAAATATCTGAACTTTACCGCAATTAGTTAATCATAATAAAATGACTCCATAAATGGGTGTGCTAACATATTAGGGAATAGAGTAAGCTCAAAGCTGATGTGAATTTGGATTTCAATCTCCATGGATGCATAGGAGAGAGAAGAGAAAAGTGCAGAGAGAGTAGAGAAGGAACAAGAGTATATAGAGGGGGAAGGTGGGTGTAGTCCAATGGATGACCATCCATCCCCAAGTCTCTGAATGGGAGGTCTTGGGTTCAATTCCCACCAAGGAAAAATGAGGGAGGTCTTGCTCTCAATGGTTCGTGTGGTGGGAGGAGCAGCCTGAAAGGTGATGTAAGTCCTGCTGGATTCGTCCTTTGGAGCCAGTACTGACGAGGCTGACTGTGATCAGATCCGGATTTAACTGTCTAGGGGCTTTGGAGGGTAGTTCATAGACTCCAGGATTATGGGAGCGTATGCCCCGACACCTGGATTATCAAAAAAAAAGTATATAGAGGGGAGTACGAAAAAGTTAAAAGGGCAGAATGGTCAACTCAATATCAATTTTTAATCTTTCTTAATCATTGTGCCGGTCAACATTTGCAATTCAATTCGTGATGGTAGGAGTATTTCTTTCTTTAACACAATTCCATTTAATAATTTGTTTTTACATGTTAAAATTTAGGCAGAATTTGAGTTTCCACCCCATGTTTTGGATGATATTTGACTTTGCACCCTATTTTCAAAATCATTAATGTATGCATCCCAATTCACTATAAAATCATTTGACTTTGCACCTCACTCCTTCACAATTTTTGGGCTAATGGGGTGCATACATTAATGATTTTAAAAATGGGATGCAAAGTCAAATTTCACCC